CAAGCCCGACGGAGGCGCCGGCGGCCTTCCTCGAGGCGGCCTCGACTGCGGCCCCGGCTGCCTCCCCGACGGCGCCGCCGGCGACGCCCCCCTCGGGGAGGGAGACGCCCCTCCGGGGAGGAAGACGACCTCTCGGGGAGGGGGATGCCCCCTCGGGGAGGGAAATGACCCTTTGGGGAGGGAGGCGCCCCTCCGGGGGGGGAGAGGCCCACCCGGGCCGCCGCGGGCGGTTCAAGAACCCTTGGGGGGCGGCCCGGTCTCGAAGGTGGCGCCCGCGGAGGATGCCGTGATCGGGGAGGGGCCCTCGGTGGATGCATTGGACGTGGAGCTGGAGGCACCCTTGGGTGAGGAAGGCGGCGGTCGCGGCGCCGGGAGTGGACCGGCCGCGCCTGCCGCCGATGCCGGCGCCGTCGCCGACGCCGAAGCCGACGGCGCCGACGTAGACGCTGGTGCCGACGCCGACACTGACGCTGACGCCGACGCTGACGCCGACGCTGGCGCGGACATTGACGCCGACGCCGACGCCGACGCTGACCCGGACGACGCCCACCCCGACGCCGACGCCGACGCCGACGCCGACACCGACGACGCCGACGCTGAGGGGCCTCGGCCCGGGGGAAGCCACGACCTCCTGGAGCGGCGGCTGCCGAGCTCGGGAGGGGCCCCCACGAGGCCCCAGGCTGCGCCCAACGCTGGCGACCTCCGGGAGGCACCTCCCGCACACCCCCCTTGGGGAGGGAAGCGCAACCCCCCTGGGGAGGGAAACGCACCCCCCTTCGAGCCTCGGTCCTCGGGCCTGGAACCGCGAGCTTCGCCATCGTCGCCGACGCCGCATTCAACGCCGACGACTTCGTCGCCCGCGCCGCCGCCGTCGGGGCCGGCCTCGTCGCCGTCGTCACTGCCGTCGGCCCCGCTGCCGGCGCGGTCGCCCCCGGAGTCATTGCCGTGCGCGACGTCGGACGCCCCTCGGGACGCTGGAGGCGATCTTCGACGCGCTGGAGGCGTTCCACGGAGGGGAAGCGCACCCCCTGGGGGCGGGAAGCGCACCCCCCTGGACGCCGGCGACCTTCGGGGCGCTCATCGGGACGGCCTTCGGGGCACTACAGGCGACCTCCGCGACGCCCGCACCCCCGAGAGGGAACCCGGCGCCGAGGGCGCTCTGTACCCCGGCGCGGAGCGGGGTCGGAGCCCGAGGTCGGAGCCAACCTCGGAGCGACCCTGGCGAGGTCGGAGCCCGAGGTCGGAGCCAACCTCGGAGCGACCCTGGCGAGGTCGGAGCCCGAGGTCGGAGCCACCCCCGGAGCGCCCCTGGCGATGTCGGAGCCTGAGGTCGGAGCCAACTTGGGAGCCGGCCCGCGCACGCCCGAGGCGACCCTGGCGGCCGCCCGTGCGGCCCCGGAGCCAACCCCGGAGCGACCCTGGCGACCACGACGGCGAAGACCCACCAGGAGGGGGCCACCTCCTAGGCGGGGATGTCCTCCACCGGGGGACCAGCGCCGACGCCGACGCGGACGCCGACGCCGACGCTGACGACGCCGACGCTGACGCGGACGCCGACGCCGACGCTGACACGTGGGCCGGCGCAGACGACGGTCCCCAGGAGGCCAAGGCCGTCGCCGACGCTGACGCCGACACCGACGACGCCGACGCCGACGCCGACGCCGACGCCGACGCTGGCACGGACGCGGACGCCGACGACGGCTCCGCCGACGAGCCCAACCCCGTCGGAGGCGACGCCGACCCGGGAGGGACCCAGCGGGGCGCCTACGCCGACGCCGTCGCCGACGCTGGCGCTGGCGACGGGTCCGCCGACGAGTCCGCCTTCGACGCCAACGACGTCGGGGCTTCTCCGACCAGGCGGAGGAACGGAGGGCCCCTCCCCTCCCTGCTCGGCGACCTCATGCACACGTACCTCAACCCGTCCGACAAGCCCACCATCGGCGGCCCGGGGGGAGGTGTCGGCCTGACCGACCGGAGGGTCGGCACCGGCCCCGGCGGGGGCCGGGGCGCCCAAGGCGACGGCGTGACCCCCGGGGAGGACCCCGCGAAGGTGGACCGCCCTGCCGCGCACGGGCGCCGGCGCAGGGCCGAGGCGCCCACTGCCGCCTCGCCCGCGGCGCCAACGGCTGCGCCGACGCCGACTGGAGGGGTGCCCCTTCCCCGCCGCGGCCGATCGGGCAGGCGGCCAAGCGCCGGGGCGCCATACGGGCGCCACCGCGCCTGCGGCCCGGCGGAGACGCCCGGCGGTGCTGATGGAGGCGCCCCTGCAACCCCACCTACGGCATCGGCGCCGGCGCCGACGCTGGCCAGGCGGGTACCCCCTCCCAGCCGCGGCCGAGAGGCCAAGCAGCCGGGCGGCCGTGCGGCCGTGCGGCTAAGGGGAGGAAGGGGTGGCCGTCTCCCTCCCAGCTGCGGTCGAGCGGCCAAGCGGCCGAGCGGCCGGGCGGCCGAGGGGAGGAAGGGGCGGCGGGCCGTTGAGTCATGGCGTGCGGGAGGGATATGCATTTTGGGCCTGGTGGGGAAGAGCCCCTCCCACAGCCCGGCACGTTTTTGAGGGAGGGGGGCCGAGGGGCCCCGCCTTCCCCAGTTTTTTAGGTGCGGCCGCTTCCCCAGGGACCGTCTAGTTCGCGAATCGACGCGAGTCAGCGATGGCCAGTTTCGGTGGCCCGAGGGCGCCGCCCCGCCAGGCGGCATCCAGCTGCTGCCTGTGCCCCGCGGCGTCGCCCGGATTACAGCCCGCCTTTAGCCTCATCTTGCGTGTTGCAGCTTTTGGCTTGCAGCGGCTGGGCTTCACCCCCACGGTGTGCCCTGCTCTTGCCCTTCTTGCACTGTGAGTAACCTTGAGGATTCGGCTCCGCGTCGGCAGCGCTGGCTCACCCATCCAGGTGCGCCCTCGGTTTCCGCTCCGACTTTTGTAGCCGGTGGGCCATTAGGGCCTGCCCCAACTTTATTGTTTTAGACATCGCCTTGGGCGGGCCACTAGGGCCCGCCTGTCGTCTTTTTGAGGTTGGAGGGACCCGGGCGGTTGTGGGCGGGAGGCCTACGGCTGTGCTCGCGGTTATCGCCAATAAATGTCTCCTCCCTCCTTTCCTCATTGCTCTGATAGTTAACGTAGCTGGGGGGAATATGGTTTCGTTTGGCCAAAAGCCTAAACGTTTATATTCCCTCCGTGGCCGCAGTGCTCTGGCATCCCCCTCTCCTGTCCTCCTCCTTTCCCCTCTTCCGCAGCCTTCTGTGCTTAGAGCGGCGCATTTTCCACCACCCACCCCTCACCTTTTAACCCGCCTGCCGTGCAGGGTAGGCGGGCGGGAGGCCTACGGCTGTGCTCGCGGTTATCGCCAATAAATGGCTCCTCCCTCCTTTCCTCATTGCTCTGATAGTTAACGTAGCTGGGGGAATATGTGGTTTTTGAGAAATGCGATGTAGTAGACCGCCACTTGAGAACCCCCCGCCCTCTGCTGGCGAGGGCGGCGCCGGGGCCGCCCCAGGCGCTCCCTCCGCTGGCGGGCCAGGGGCGGACCAGGGGTGGCTGCTGCGGGGGGTAGCGGCGCCGGCGCGGCGAGCGGGGCGTGGAGGTCCGCGCGCCCCCGTCTCAGGCTCTCCCGGGCAATACCGGGTGGATCTGGGGCCGCGGGCCCCGCGGTGAGTGAGCAACCGCTTGCCAGCTCAGGCCCTGCGCGCCGCCCCGGCGCCGCGCCAGCTTTAGTGGCCACTGTTGCGCGCCAGCTCGCGGCCCGTTGAGGCTCTACCTGCGCCTCCCTTGCGCGCTCCCGCGCCGCTCAGTGGTGCCGGGGCCGCCTCGCGGGCTGCTGGTTTTACGCCGCGCGCCCGTTCTGCCCTCGATGCTTCAGCTAAGTGATCAGTTTTTTTGTACTTGCCCCATCCTGTGTCTTGCTGTTGGCCCTTGTCACCTGGCGCCTCCGGTGCTACAGGTGTCGGGCGGTACTGGGGTCACCCCGCGCGCTGCGCTTGCCGCCGGCAGTAAGTTTACTTTGGGCCATGTCTGCCTCGGCGCACCTTGGCAACCTCGCAGCAGCGTCGCCAGCCCGCGGCCCGCGTTCCGCCGTGCCTTGCACAGCGCGCAGGTGCCTGCCACATATTCGGGCAGCGAGGCAGTGGTGATGCGGCGCACGAGGCCGCAAGTAGTAGCAGCAGCAGCAGCAGCAGCAGCAGCAGTAGTAGTGGTGGTAGTAGTAATAGTAGTAGTAGTAGTAGTAGTAGTAGTAGTAGTAGTAGTAGTAGTAGTAGTAGTATGTAGTAGTAGTAGTAGTAGTAGTAGTAGTAGTAGTAGTAGTAGTAGTAGTAGTAGTAGTAGTAGTAGTAGTAGTAGTAGTAGTAGTAGTAGTAGTAGTAGTAGTAGTAGTAGTAGTAGTAGTAGTAGTAGTAGTAGTAGTAGTAGTAGTAGTAGTAGTAGTAGTAGTAAGTAGTAGTAGTAGTAGTAGTAGTAGTAGTAGTAATAGTAGTAGTAGTAGTGGTGGTGGTGGTAGTCGTAGTAGTAGTAGTGGTAGTGGTCGTAGTAGTAGTAGTAAGTAGTCGTAGTAGTGTAGTAGTAGTAGTAGTAGTAGTAGTCGCAGTAGTAGTAGTAGTAGTAGTAGTAGTAGTAGTAGTAGTAGTAGTAGTAGTCGTAGTAGTAGTAGTAGTAGTAGTAGTAGTAGTAGTAACAGTAGCTGTAGTAGTAGTCGTAGTCGTAGTCGTAGTCGTAGTCGTAGTTCTAGTCGTAGTCGTAGTCGTAGTCGTAGTAGTAGTGGTAGTAATCATCGTAGTATTAGCAGTCGTACGAGTAGTCGTACTCGTAGTCGTAACAGTAGTAGTAGCACCGACTGTATCAGTTTGTTTGTGGTTTTCTGGTGGCGTTGACGCTCCACAAAGCGTCATGGTGGGCGGTTCGGGCGGTGCCTTTTTGGAAAAAAAAACATCCGAAGAGCCGCCCGGCGTAAAGTGCGCTTGCACTTGCTGTGTTGTAGCGTTGGAGACGGTATCTGGCTGCGCTGACAAAGAACATGCGCCCCCAGAACGGACAGTTGTGCAACGGCACGTCGGACTCCGCTTGCGAGTTGCCCGTCACAGGCGCGTCATATTTGTGGTTTTATCCCGCCCCCCCACCCGGTGTCTTATCTACCCCTTCAGGAAACATCCGTTCCCACGACCACATCACATTGGTAATGCTAACACGTGATACTTCGCCCACTGCCAGAACAATTATTACTATTTGTGTTTTCAGGCGTTGATGTTAGACGTCTCTGTGTTATGCTATTGTTGCGACCGTGCGGTCATAACGCCCACCTCACAATATCGCTACCTTTTTGTGTTTCGCGAACAGCTGCTACGACCATCTTGTGATTACTCTTTTGCCACTGATATTGGCATCGCGTCGTGGACATATGTTCATACTATTGCAGCGATAGCCAAGGAACTTGCACCATTGGGCGTGCTGTCCCTGTCTGGTCCCATCTGTTGCCGAACATGTCATGCTCGCTCCTGTCATTCCCGCTCTCATCTCGGCCCCCGTATTCGAGGCAAGTTTTGGGACGTCGAATTCAGCATCGGCGCTGGTAGATCCGTGGCCGGACACCAAAGGTCGCAGGACACGTCCTAGAGCCAGGCAGAACAATTGCACAATCACAGTTTGAGAGCTCTCTGGTATCATTGTGCTGTCCCCCATCTGCATGACGTTGCATCTTCGGGGGACCTCGCCTGTCCCCAAAATTGGTTTCTTATCTTGTGCCCGGCGTGGGCTCGATGCGGACGCGACGCGGATTTGGCCCTCATCCGACTCGGATTCGATACGGATTCGACACGGATCCGACGAGTTTGACATGGTCTCGACACGGATTCGACGCGGATTGGGCCGCGGCGGAACAGATAAGGTCCTCTTGAGGATGCAGCATAATTTGTTTTACGTTCTTTCGCATTGGAAGCCATTTTGCTGTACTGCCCCCCTCCTCGCGCTCCAGCGCGGCGGCAGGCACCTGCAGCACGTGCCTCGGCGGGTGCTCGGTGGGCGGAGCGTGTGCCTGCGGCGTGGACGAGCCGTCGTGCCTGAACAGCAACGGCACCTGGTCCCCCGACCTGGCACAGACTGAAGCGGGCAGCATCGCTCGGATCGGAGGGCGCTATCCACACACCTGCTCCGATCCTGGCCAGCCTGATGCTAGTCCCAGGATCGGTGTGCATGCATTCTGCCCAGGGCAGGAGGGCGTAGACACCGATCCTGGGCCCAGTGTTGCCCTGGCCAGGATAGGATCGGTGTTGGTGTACAGTTGGTGCCGTCCTATCAGAGGAGGGCGGGTTGAGACGACAACTGTTGGCCTGCGGACGCAGCTCGGACAAATTGTGCAGTTGGACCCTCGGAGGGGTCCCAGTGACCGATGCTCAGCTGCCGTTCTCTGAATTTTGTTTTTTCGAGCAGCACGTTTTGCGCGCACTTTCGTTTGCCAAGCGGTGTCCCAGAAGGACGAGTTCTGGATTTCTTCGTCGATCTTAACCCAAGGGCGAAGGCGCATACTTCAATCTTCTGGCCCAAGGGACAAAACAGTGCTCCAGAGGAGTAGGGGGTTGGGAGAGGAGAAAATGGAGGCCAAGGAGGAGGTGGGTGAGGAGAGGTTTGCAACTTGAGGACCAAGGAAGCGACTTGTGCCATGCGATTTCGGAGGGTTGCCTTGGAGGTGGCGCCGAGAAGGGCGAATGTCTGACCGCCCTGTCTATCTGGCTCGCTGTCGGGGAAGGGGCAGGGACGAGGAGCGGCAGGAGGGGGAGGAGGAGGAAGTAGGAGGAGATGGATGACGATATCGAGCAGAGCAGGCGGACAAGGAAGAGGAGGACGGCGGTTGCGATTGTTTTGCTGGGGCTTGCTCGAGTGTCGGGACTTTTCGGCGCCCCCCAGGATCCCGAGAGGTACGGCGCGGCCTCGGGACCGGACGCTCGGAGGATGAGGATGGAGACGTTTGATCTTTTTCGTTTTTTTCAGGTCTGCAATGGAAGCCCGCTGGTCTGAGGGGCCTCTTGTGAAATGACGAGAATTCGCATCACGCTTACGACCAAAGGGCCAGAGTTCGCCACGGCTGGAGGTCGCCACGGTTGAATTCGCTTCGAGAATCCAGCCAGCACGCGTTCCAGGATAGTTCTAGAGGTCGATATTGAAGAGAAGGACGAGGAGGAGGCGGAGGAGGAACTGTCTAATCTCTCCTCCTCGCGGTGATACATCAGCGACGCCAGCCCCACCGGCAGGGCCCACCCCAAGCGAGGAGGTCCGCGATGCCTCCCCGACCTGGGGACCAGGGTCGCAGCGCTTGCCTTGGCGGGAGTGGGCGCGGGCCCAGGCCCGCGCCTCAACATCTCAGGCACGACGGCTGGATGGGCTCAGACGTGGGGACTCGCCACGTCGCAACGCCTGCGAGGCGGAACGCACGTGTTTTCATTATACTCGTCACGTGGCAACACCAGGGGATCGGCAACTCTCCCTGCCACGTGGCAGCGCTCGGAGGGGGGAACACATATATACTGCTCCAGTGTAATTACTGAGCACGTGGCAGCGCCTGCGGGCCGAAACAGAAGTACTCCACTCTACTCGGCACGTGGCAGCGAAGCGGGCCGGCGACAAATGCTACTCTTTATTCACCACGTGGTAACGACGCAACACGTCGCAATGTCGCGCGGACCGAACATCCCGCCAGTGGGGCCTTGGGTAGAGCCCGCCATGGGGCCACGAACCGTGTGAGAGGTGTGCCGACATGGGTTCGGTCAGGCACATGCGAACCCTGCCACTGTAGTTTTCGGTGGAGATCCCTAGGGAGTCGTGAGGGGTGCCGAAATGGACGCGGTGGCGCCATGCGAACCCTGCCACTGGGGCCTTCGGCGGAGCTCCCTATGAGGCCACGAACATGTGAGGGTTGTGCCGAGATAAGTGTGGTAGCGCCATGCACCCTGCCACGAAGGCCTTTGGCAGAGCTCCCACTGGATTCACGAAACGTCTGAGGAGTGCGCCGAAATAAGCGCATTGGCGCCATTCGAACTTTTTCCGGTCGACTTCTTCTGGTCGAGTTCTTCCAGATAATTTCTTCCGAACGATTTCTTCCGGACGATTTCTTCTGGACGATTTCATCCGGACGTTTTCTTCTGGACGATCTCTTCCGAACAATTTCTTCCAGACGATGTCTTCCTAACGATTTCTTGCAGACGATTTCTTCTGGACTATTTCTTCTGGATGGTTTCTTCCGAACGATATGATTTATTCTGGACGATTTCTTCCGCGAGACGATTTCTTCGGACGGTTTTTTCTGGACCATTTCTTCTGAATTCCTTTTTCCGAACGCCTTCTTTGTCGTATTCCTATCCCTCCTCCTCCGTCTCCGCCGCACCGATATCTCACGAAGAGAATAATTATCTGTCTGGACGACTTCTTCCGGACCATCTCTTCCACTGATACCAGTCGGGGCTCTTGTGTCAGATATAGCTGAACAAATCGAGTACTCGAGCACACAAGTGGAGTTAGGGAACTTATCGCTGCAACTATTTATGGAAAAAGATGTTCCCAATATGTTATCTTTTCTGAAAAATAAGTCCCAAATAAGTTCCGTAAGTTCCCGAGCCCCCCTGAAGCCCCTACCCGCCGCGGCCCCTCGGGCTCGTCCTTGAATGGGTTGTGCAATGGAGGAGGGAGGAGGAATAGGAGGCGGAGTGGGAAGATCAAGAGAGTGAGAGTGATGATGATGCTGATGTTGATGATGATGATGTTGATGATGATGAGACGGATGAGGATGATCATGATGATGATGATGATGATGATGATGATGATGATGATGATGATGATGATGATGATGATGATGATGATCATGATGATGATGCTGGTGATGATGATGATGATGACGGTGATGGTGATGGTGATGGTGATGGTGATGATTGACGATGTTTTTTTGATGCCGCGCCGAGCTAAGCGCTCAGTTCACTTCCGCGCGTGGGTCGACCCACTCAGTCTCTACTTCGAGGGTCACTGAGAACGTGGCCTTCTTCGGATGCCTGTGGTCGTACTGCTCGATGTCTGGAGAGGGGGGCCCTCCTGGACCATACATGGTGAGGGAGGCGGCCTTCAACCACGGGTTCGTGACGTCCTCGATGCACTTCCACGTCTGAGTGACCTTTTTGACCCGCTTCTCAGGCGGCTGAAAAATCTCGATCAGGTAGTCGTTGCCGCCGCGCTCGGGCATCGTCTCGGGTTCGGCGCGCGCGGCCTCGGCCTCTGCCATGGCTCTCGGCGGGCTCGGAGGCGGCGGGCTCGGGGGAGTATACGGGGCGGGCCCCGTCTCGGCTTCGGCGCGCGCGGCCTCGGCCTCTGTCATGGCTCTCGGCAGGAGCGGGGGAGTACGCGGGGCGCGCCTCGTCTCGGCTGCGGCGCGCGCGGCCTCGGCCTCTGTCATGGCTCTCGAGAGCGGGGGAGTGCGCGGGGCGCGCGAACGCGGGTTTGTCATCAGACCGCAGCTTTGGGACACTGGCAAAGATATGCGCTCATATCACTTCTGCGGGGCCAGAGCGGATACGCGCACCGCTTCAGCGGGTGAGCCGCTGTGGCGAAACCAAAATGACGATGCCAAAAAGGCGGATGTATGTGATTGTGACGATGTCGATGCGGGTGTAGGAAGGAGGAATGACATTTTTTGCCCAACCATCCTGTGGTGTTGGGCCCTCGTTTTGACGAGACAGCGCCCCGCGTTCCCCTCCTCCTCCCGCCCCACCCCTCCATCCTCATCTTATTATCATCATCGTCATCATCGTCATCATCATCATTGTCATCATCGACGTCACCACCACCATCATCATCGCCCTCATCATCATCACCAATTTCGGCACACCCCTCACACGCTTCGTGGCCCCAGAGGGAGCTCCACCGAAGGCCCCAGTAGCAGGGTTCGCATGGCGGCTTCGGGCCATTCCGGCACACCACTCACGAGGATCGTGGCCCCACAGGGAGCTCCACCGAAGGCCCCAGTGGCAGGGTTCGCATGGCGGCCTCGTGCCATTTCGGCACAACCCTCACGAGGAGAGTGGCCCCATAGAAAGTTCCAGCGAAGGCCCCAGTGGCAGGGCTCGCTCGGGCCATTTCGGCGCCCCCGCACGAGGATCGCGGCCCCAAAGGGAGCTCCACCGAAGGCCCCAGTGGCAGGGTTCGCATGGCGGCCTCGGGCCATTTCGGCACACCCGTCACGCGGATCGTGGCCCCATAGGGAGCTCCACCGAAGGCCTCAGTGGCAGGGTTCGCATGGCGGCCTCGGGCCATTCCGGCGCACCCCTCACGAGGACCGTGGCCCCATAGGGAGCTCCACCGAAGGCCCCAGCGGCAGGGTTCGCATGGCGGCCTCGGGCCATTTCGGCACACCCCTCACGGGGATCGTGGCGCTGTGGGGAGCTCCACCGACGGCCCCAGTGGCAGGGTTCGCATGGCGGCCCCGGGCCATTTCGGCACACCTCTCATTAGGATCGTGGGGCTCCACCGAAGGCCCAAGTGGCAGGGTTCGCATGGCGGCCCTGGGCCATTTCGGAACACCCCTCACGAGGATCGTGGCACCATAGGGAGCTCCACCGAAGGCCCCAGTGGCAGGGTTCGCATGGCGGCCCCGGGCCATTTCGGCACACCCTTCACGAGGGTCGTGGCCCCATAGGGAGCTCCACCGAAGGCCCCAGTGGCAGGGCTCGCATGGCGGCTTCGGGCCATTTCGGCACACCCGCCACGAGGATCGTGGCCCTGCGGGGAGCTCCACCGAAGACCTCATTGGCAGGGTTCGCATGGCGGCCTCGGGCCATTTCGGCACACCCCTCACGCGGATCGTGGCCCTGTGGGGAGCTCCACCGAAGGCCCCAGTGGCAGGGTTCGCATGGCGGCCTCGGGTCATTTCGGCACACCCCTCACGGGGATCGTGGCCCCATAGAGGGCTCCACCGAAGGCCCCAGCGGCAGGGTTCGCATGGCGGCCTGGGGCCATTTCGGCACACCCCTCACGAGGACCGTGGCCCCATAGGGAGCTCCACCGAGGGCCCCAGTGGCAGGGTTCGCATGGCGGCCTCGTGCC